ATTAAGCCCATTGGGATTCAATATGAGGTTTTATGGTATATAAACTCTAAAATAAAGTGTTTTTTTAAGGCTTTGAGTAGAGATATTTTTAGTTGACATAATAATATGTGGCAAAGACAAGCCAAACCAGTCACTCGTCGCAAATCCTGTTTTGGAGATAATGGCCAAAACATGCTGGAATGTCAAAATTTTGGAAATCTATTTTATTGCACTAAACTAACATTTATATATCTATACATCATGCTATGCTGTTATTTTCCTCATTTTCAATGTTAAAACAACAATTTTTAACGATTTGGTGATGGTTTCTGCCTAAGAAATGCCTGAAATCGTAAACTTTAAAGGTTGATTTCTCAAATATTGTTCTTTAAACAGCTGTATGTTTAAACTCGTGTAACTTCATAACGAAGTGTCGGATTTAAATGATTCTTTTACCATTTTATAGCTCGCGTTTTACTGTTAAACCCTGTATTAATAACTAAAAATTGATTTTTCCGACGAGTGACTGGTTTGGCTTGTCTTTGCCACATATTATGTTCTAGTGTTTTATACCAGTTCTCTATTATATCAACAGAGATTAGAACTCTGCCTAGTCTATTAAGTAAAATTGTAGAATACTTATATTAATATAATATATTGCAACTACAGTAATCGAAAACTGGCAATACTAGAGCATTTGCTATCATACAGTATTAAGAGTTTGGTATGGCAAGTAGTATTTGATACAGTATTTGCAGCAAATTTGTTTTGATACTTTCATTGCAGTATGACTTAAATGATCCTTCCATGTCAAATGATGATCAGTATATACACTCAAGTACTTAAATGATTCACTTTTAAATTGATTGATTTTTGTAGGACTGTATACAACCTTCACAGAGGTCAGGATTTTTATAAATTTTTTTCTTTTCATTTCACAGAAAAGATATGGAATGAATGATAGTGGTAGTTACAAGAAGCAAGCCGAACAAGCATATGACAGAGCCCTTGCAAGAGGGCAGATGACTGTCTCGGACTACTACGACCAAATGCAGTCTGTAAAAATCTCAATGACTTGTGGGATTGATGATGGAAGAGCAAGAACAAGAGGTGCACTTTAAATTATTCTATCCTCTTTGGGATCTGTAGGATTTATCCTCAGGATGGATTTGTTAAATCTTCTCTTGCAAATATATCTATTTATATTCATTTTATTTTGGTGTGTTTTTGTATCAGGAAAATATTATGGGAGTGATGTTTTTCTCTACCTGACGTCTTATCGTACTGAATACTTAGTACTTTCCCAAGTAATAAAAAAAAAAAATATAGCAAGTGATTCGGGTGGGAATTGAACCCACAACCTCCAAATAACTAGCCTGGCAAAAAATCACACATTCATTTTGTCATCAGTTCTAAAGTTTCATGAACACTAGGAGAACAATATCACTGCCTTTAAAAAATGTTACAAAAGGGTGGTATAGGCTAGTAGTTAACATGCATTTATTTGGCTATATTTTGTTTTTCTTATTTATTACCATTAAAAATATTGTAAATAAATACAAGTTATAATTAAAATACTAAATAATGCCACAATTTCAGTAGAGCATTATTTTTTGGATATTTGACTGTATAAAGAATAAGAGCTTTGTTGGATTTAATAGATGATTATAGGTCCCCAGTGAAAAGGAGTGCAAGGCCCTGCAAAAGACGGGCCTGATCTTGTATGCACAAAAGAAAGCCAGAGGCCGTAGCTGACTTGCATTTAAGGCTGGAACATAGGGAGAACACTTTGTACAGCCTGTCCACAATGTACTTGTTAAAGAATACTAAACAGAGTGTTTCATGAAAACATTTCTGTATCCTAAAGCTTTGTTCACACTCAAATTGTATATGAAAAAAATCTGTGAATTTGTCTATATATATATGTGACATATTTGTTAAATAAAAACATCTTGTGTGGACAGACACTAATTCTTGTTTATTCTACACCCCCAGGTCTTATAACAAAGCTTTATCAGTACTATAGCAAAGGAGTTGCTGGGGTACCAGTTGTCCGTTTGTGTTCCGAGACCAGTCATTACGGCTCTTCCCCTGGTGACAGAGGCTGGGGTTGTGGCTACAAGAACATCCAGATGTTGTTGGCTGCCATGTGTAACGATCCGAAATTCAAGAATTCTGTGTTTAATGGTGAGATCTGAATTCTTTTTAAATATTGTGAGATATATATTTTTAAAATTTTGCGATACAAATACATTGTCATCGACCCAAGCTGTTATAGCACTAAAGTCATAAATTTCTACTATCTTTACTCTATAATTCCTAGTACATTTATATATACAGGTCATGTGACCAGATACAAGCCATCAGGTGTACAAATTTCCAAATATATAAATATGATATATTTCTTGCTTTATAAATATTTATATAAATATTCCAAGGTTATATTTTTGCTAACTTAATATACACTATTACCAGTAATATGATTTTATTGCTTTTAATAATAATAATAATGGGAATAATAATAATATATAAGATAAGGTAAAATAAGATAAACTTTATTGTCCATCAAATATGTGGAAATTCATGGTCCATTTGGCGCAAAAATACAAAGATATCAATTAAATTACATCACGATGATATGATAATAATAATAATAATAATAATAATAATAATAATAAAACTATATATATGGATCATAGATCCTTGTACATGCTTTACTTAAGTATTGAACTGTGGTGGAAAACTATCCCCTGTTGGACACCAACCTGGTATTTCTGAGTCGAAGTTAAATCACTTCATTATGATACAAAATATTTTTAGAATAATATGAATTTGTTATTTATTTCAATATTTTCGGGATTACAAGAATTTGTTTTCATAGAAGCTTCAATGCTAAATCAGATTTGCTAATTTTTATTGACATTTTATTGTAGGCTCTACCAATATGCCTTCTATATCTAAAATTCAACAGCTGATTGAGAAAGCCTGGGAGGAAGGCTATGATGAACAGGGCAGAGAACAGCTTGGTGGCAAGATCTACAACACAAGGAAATGGATAGGTGCTACAGAGGTTATGGCCTTTTTCACATCTCTTAAAGTCAGGTAGGTGTAACAGCA